CAGTTTTCTAGACAACTGCTTAGAAGAACCCATGGTGCTGATTGTTGGGGCAAGATCAGATGAGTCTGGGCAATTAAAACCTTTGAGATTGACATAACCTGGTCTTCCCAGACGATTGAGAACAATCCATGACACTGGCAGGTCTCAGCTTTGCAAAGGGGGCAGTGCATGCTATAAATTCTGCAGGGTGCCCAAACTTTTGCAGACGCCATTTTTTTTGTTTTCTGTTATTTTGAAAGTGTAAATGATGGAAATAATCTAACTTTTGTGGACATATTATAAGAATGTCTAATCTGTAATTTGATGCCTTTTGGAGATTTTTCCATCTTTCCTTGGCTTCTTTATGCACATTAATACAAATTTTTAGCTGGGGTGCCCAAACTTTCGATCCCCACTGTACATATGATTTTGCGCACCCCTGCTGCCCTGTAGCAGTATACAGTGAGGAACAAAAGTATTTGAACACCCTGCGATTTTGCAAGGTCTCCCACTTAGAAATCATGGAGGGGTCTGAAATTCACATTGTAAGTGCATTCCCACTCTGAGACAGAATTTAAAAAAAAAAATTCAGGAAATCACATTGTATGATTTTTAAAGAATTTGTCTTGCACTTCTGAATATAAGTATTTGAACATCTGAGAAAATCAGTGTTAATATTTGGTACAGACGTCTTTCTTTGCAATTTCAGAGGTCAAACGTTTCCTGTAGTTCTTGACCAGGTTTGCACGCACTGCAACAGGGATTTTGGCCCACTCCTCCACACAGATCTCTTCTAGATCTGTCAGGTTTCAGGGCTGTCGCTGAGCAACACGGAGTTTCAGTTCCCTCTAAACATGTTCTATTGGATTTAGGTCTGGAGACTGGCTAGGCCACTCCAGAACCTTGATATGCTTCTTACGGAGCCACTCCTTGGTTATCCTGGCTGTGTGCTTCGGGTCGTTGTCATGTTGGAAGACCCAGCCACGACCCATCTTCAATGCTCTGACTGAGGGAAGGAGGTTGTTGCTCAAAATCTCATAATAAATGGCCCCATTCATTCTCTCAATACAGTGCAGTCGTCCTGTCCCCTTTGCATAAAAGCACCCCCAAAGCATGATGTTATTACCCCCATGCTTTACAGTAGGGATGGTGTTCTTGGGATGTAACTCATCTTTTTTTCCTTTAAACACGACGAGTGAAGTTTAGACCAAAAAGTTCTACTTTGGTCTCATATGACCACATGACTTTCTCCCATGCCTCCTCTGGATCATCCAGATGGTCATTGGCAAACTTCAGTGTTCTACCGACAGTGACCTTTGAAACTGTGGTCCCAGCTCTCTTCATGTCATTGACCAGCTCCTCCCTTGTAGTTCTGGGCTGATTCCTCACCTTTCTTATCATCAATGATACCCCACAAGGTGAGATCTTGCATGGAGCCCCAGTCCAAGGGAGACTGACAGTCGTCTTTAGCCTCTTCCATTTTCTACCAATTGCTCCAACAGTTGATCTATTTTCACCAAGCTGCTTGGCAATTGCCCCGTAGCCCTTTCCAGCCTTGTGGAGGTCCAATTGTGTCTCTGGTGTCTTTTGACAGCTCTTTGGTCTTGCCCATGGTAGTAGTAGGCATCTGACTGACTGTGGGGTGGACAGGTGTCTATAAAGAGCTCAGACAGGTGCTACTAAGTTAGATTAATGAGTGGAGTAGAGGTGGACTTTTTAAAGGCACAGTAACAGGTCTTTGAAAGCCAGAATTCTTGCTGTTTCTTAGGTGTTCAAATACTTATGTTCAGAAGTGCAAGACAAATAAATTCTTTTTTATCATACAATGTGATTTCCTGAATTTTTTTTTAAATTCTGTCTCTCAGAGTGGGAATGCACCTACAATGTGAATTTCAGACCCCTCCATGATTTCTAAGTGGGAGACCTTGCAAAATCGCAGGGTGTTCAAATACTTCTGTTCCTCACTGTATCTACTATAAGGCAGTCGGGATGTGGTTAATTGGTGTGTGTAAATATTACAGCATCTACAAACTATGGTATTTTTGTTGGAATATACGCAGCTATGGTGCTATACTAGTAATGGCGGTGGTCAGTGACTTATAGTGTAACTCTAATAGTGTGGCAGATGATCTGGCGCTAGCTGGAAGTGTCATTGTCGAGTGACACTAATATAGTGATCAGAGCTAATACTGTATACTGTTCTGATGACACTGGCTGGGAAGGGGTTAACATCTAACAGAAATCAAAGGGTTAACTGTATTGCAAAGGAGGCTAATCATGAGGGCCCCTTGATCATTACACAATTTAGCAAATGATAAAAGCCCATTAAAAATTAAAAGGAAACATCGACCCATTTTGAAAAATTACCCCAAATTAGCCTCTACACTTCCCAACAATCCAAAAATGGTTTTCAGTAGAATTAGCAACAAACATAATAATAGCCCCAAGTAAAGTGACTAAACCACATATTCGAGAGTGGACAATATCCCAAGTTTTCTGTCCTTGACTGGCATGTACTGATGTAAAAACTAAAATGCCTTATGTATTCTTCATGGTCTGAAATTTTCCATGACTCTAAAGACTGGATCTGTACTAGCATGGAGTGTCTTACTTGTTCTTCCCCTTACACAGTGTACTGCCTCCCTTTCCCTTGTGGCCTACGCTATATAGGCCTCACTAGAAGACCATTTTGGATTAGAGTCGGGGAACACAAATAGTATATTATTATTATACAGTATTTATAAAGCGCCAATAGTTCGCTCAGCGCTGTACATTACAATGGGGGACAGAACAATAACAATACAATGCAAAACATGAGGGGATCGAGGGCCCTGCTCTTTCGAGCTTACAATCTAGGAGGGAGGGGATGGTGGCAAAGGAGGAGAAAGCTGTGGAGGATGGAGTGGTACGAAGAGTGGAGGAGGTCTGCAAGTTAGCAGGGGGTCGGGTAGGCTTCCCTGAAGAGGTGGGTTTTCAGGGTGCGCCTAAAGGAGAGGAGAGTAGGTGATAATCTGATGGGTTAGGGCAGGGAGTTCCAGAGGATGGGTGACACCCTGGAGAATTCCTGGAAGCGGGCATGGGAGGAGGAGACCAGGGAACTAGAGAAAAGGAGGTCTTGTGAGAAGCGGAGTGTGCGTGTTGGGTGGTACTTGGATATTAGGTCGGTGATGTAGTTCGGGGCAGTATTGTGGACAGCTTTGTACCTCAGTGTTAGGATTTTGAATTTTATCCGTTGCGCAATCGGAAGCCAGTGGAGGGATTGGCAGAGGGGGGTAGCGTAAACGGAGCGGTTGGAAAGCTGAATGAGTCCGGCAGCCGTATTCAGGATCGACTGAAGCGGGGATAGCCAGTGGTGAGGCAGGCCAGTAAGGAGGGAATTGCAGTAATCGAGTCGTGATATGATGAGGGAGTGGATGAGCTGTGTCAGGAACGGACTTGCCAGTGGTGGTGGGACTCACCTGCCTTGTGGGCTGCAGTACCAGGGCTGGCCAGCGGGTGCTCTCAGCAACCAGAGGCTCACTTCTGCAATGAGCCATCACCTGAGGCTGATTACAGCAGGTGTATTTAAGGAATGGCCAGGCCTGTGATCAGGGCCTTGGTGTATGTTTCCCATGAGCCCCTGTACCTGCATCCTGTCTGCTTCCTGCCTGATCCTGCTTTTATCCTGACTCTGCATGAACTCTGCCTGTCCTGACCTCGGCTATTCCTGACTACGCTTCCGCCTGCTGCTTGTACCTTGCCTGCCCGTTTGCTACCGACCCGGCCTGCCCGACTATGTTTAGTATTGTTCTTATTGTTATCTGTTAAAGGTTTGGTTGCACTGTGTTTATGTTTAGTCTTGCACTGCGTTTATGTATTGTTTATACTATACCTGGAGTCTGTGTTTCCCTGTGTCAGTCCACACTTTTCTGGTCATACCTGGATCCCTAACAGAACACCAAGGCCATTCCTGACTAGAAGTGGCTGCACAGGGAAGCCATCTTGGCTTATTGTTGCTGGGAAGGATGCATTTTGATGAGGTGGTGTATTTATCTCTGCTAGTGTTTGATGACAGAGATTATTATGCTATCAGACTCTGAAGGAGTATACCAGGGATCAACTACTAGAATGCATAAGGATCGCTCATTGCCTAGTAGATCAGGGCACAGAGTTCTCTGAGGTGCAACCATTGATTCAGGTTTGTGCAGAGTTGGCTTCATCTGGTACCCCCGAATGCAAGGATGAATTTTTTGCCGCCATTTAGTGCCGACCAGGTAGAGTCCCTGGTGTGGTTATTGGAGGATGATGTGGATTACTTCTTGGAGCGTTATTCTGCATGTTCACAACAGGTGCTAAGAGATTGTATAAACGCAGTGCAGTCTTTTACCAGACAGGCTTTGTTTAAGCTGAGCTTTGTTCAACCCATACTGCAGACATGGTCAGACTTGTTGCACCCAGCCTCAGTCAGCTTGCAACGTCATTCCTCTGCTCAAGGCACTCTTCCTGCATCCCCGACAGCACCCCCAGTAACGGCCCAGTATACTCTTAACTACCACATATCAGTCCCCTGCTCCCACTCGCTGCACCTATCCTATCTATAACCCTGTAAAGAAGTCCTCTGTAGCAACTGCTCCCTCCTTTGTTCCATCCCTCAGCTCTTCTCTGCCTACAGCTGCTCTATCCACTTACAAACCTGCGCTTACTTCCTGCGCTTCAGTAACTAAAACCAGGAAAAAGCGAAAATTCTTTCCAACCAATACCATCCTGCCAGTATCCAAACCGGTCAGCCTGCCGTCTGAGAACCCGCCTTCCGTGGTTCAGCCTGATACCCTGATGCCCGATGACCCAGTGTACCCTACCCAGCTTGATGTGTCTACCCAGCCTGATGGTCCTATTATGCCAGATGACTCGGTACCCACTGTCGAGCCAGACGATCCAATGCCTGATGACCCGGTGCCCACTGTCGAGCCAGATGACCCGATGCCTGATGACCCAGTGTCCGCTGTTGTGCCTGGTGACCCGATGCCCGCTGTCGAGCTAGATGATCCGGTACCCGCTGTCGAGCCAGATGACCTGATGCCAGATGACCCGATGCCCGCTGTCGAGCCAGACGATCCGATGCCAGATGACCCGATGCCCGCTGTCGAGCCAGATGACCCGATGCCAGATGACCCGGTGCCCGCTGTCGTGCCTGGTGACTCGGTGCCTGCTGTCGTGCCTGGTGACTCGGTGCCCGCTGCCTTGCCGGATGACTCGGTGCCCGCTGCCTTGCCGGATGACTCGGTGCCCGCTGTCTTGCCGGATGACTCAGTGCCCGCTGTCGAGCCAGACGACCCGATGCCAGATGACCCGATGCCTGCTGTCAAGCCAGACGACCCGATGCCTGATGACCCGTGCCCGCTGTCGTGCCTGGTGACTCGGTGCCCGCTGCCTTGCCGGATGACTCGGTGCCCGCTGCCTTGCCGGATGACTCGGTACCCCCTGCCTTGCCGGATGACTCGGTGCCCGCTGTCGAGCCAGACGACCCGATGCCAGATGACCCGATGCCCGCTGTCAAGCCAGACGACCCGATGCCTGATGACCCGGTGCCGCTGTCGTGCCTGGTGACTCAGTGCTCGCTGTCGTGCCAGATGACTCGGTGCCCGCTGTCCAGCTTGGTGACTCGATACCCGCTGTCGTACCAGATGACTCCGTGCCCGCTGTCGTGCCAGATGACTCCGTGCCCGCTGTCGTGCCAGATGACTCCGTGCCCGCTGTCGTGCCAGATGACTCCGTGCCCGCTGTCGTGCCAGATGACTCCGTGCCCGCTGTCGAGCTTGGTGACCCAGTGCCCGTGGTCCTGCCAGATGACTCGGTGCCCGCTGCTCCGCCAGATGACTCGGTGCTCGCTGTCGTGCCAGATGACTCGGTGCCCGCTGTTGTGCCAGATGACTCGATGCCCGCTGTCGAGCTTGGTGACCCAGTGCCCGTGGTTCTGCCAGATGACTCAGTGCCCGCTGTCCTGCCAGATGACTCGGTGCCCGCTGCCTTGCCTGCTGCTCCGCCTGATGGCCCGGTGCCCGCTGCCTTGCCTGCTGCCCAGCCTGACGTGCCTCTGCCTGCTGCCCAGCCTGACGTGCCTCTGCCTGCTGCCCAGCCTGACGTGCCTCTGCCTGCTGCCCAGCCTGACGTGCCTCTGCCTGCTGCCCAGCCTGACGTGCCTCTGCCTGCTGCCCAGCCTGACGTACCAGCTCCTGATGCCCAGCCTGCTTCTGGAAATCCTGTGTCCAGCAATCTGCCTTCCTGCAGTCTCCTACAAAAAGATAGGCCTATCAGCAGGAGACCCAGCCAATCGCTTGATTCCGGCAGTGGGATGTCCAGCCAGTTGCCGGACCCAGGCGGTGGAACATTTGGGCCATTACGGATTGTTTGGAGCGTCCTGAGGCCGCTCCTTGAGGAGGGGGGGTACTGTCAGGAATGGACTTGCCAATGGTGGTGGGACTCACCTGCCTTGTGGGCTGCAGTACCAGGGCTGGCCAGCGGGTGCTCTCAGCAACCAGTGGCTCACTCCTGCAATGAGCCATCACTTGAGGCTGATTACAGCAGGTGTATTTAAGGAATGGCCAGGCCTGTGATCAGGGCCTTGGTGTATGTTTCCCATGAGCCCCTGTACCTGCATCCTGTCTGCTTCCTGCCTGATCCTGATTCTGCTTTAATCCTGACTCTGCATGAACTCTGCCTGTCCTGACCTTGGCTATTCCTGACTACGCTTCCACCTGCTCCTTGTACCTTGCCTGCCCGTTTGCTACCGACCCGGCCTGCCCGACTACGTTTAGTATTGTTCTTATTGTTATCTGTTGGAGGTTTGGTTGCACTGCGTTTATGTATTGTTTAGTCTTTAATAAATTGTATTGTTTATACTATACCCGGAGCCTGTGTTTCCCTGTGTCAGTCCACACATTTCTGGTCATAAAATAAACTTATATATAAAATCTATATATAAAATCGAGCGCAGTGTATAGGTGTAAGTACGGTAGCTGCTTGCACAAAAAGGCACCTCGGGAACCTCCAAAGTAATTGATAAAGAATGAGAGTGCAGCGCTAACCCCCAAATAGCGATTAAACATATGATAGACCACATATGATAGTGGATCAGTAAAATGTCAGTGTAAGTTCATCAGATGTGCTGAAAATGCATACAGTCTCCAATATGTAAAAAACCAAAAGTAGTGACTTTCAGAAATAATAGTGCACTTGTAATGGAATTCACAAGAACCCGATAAAAAGTTTCTGTTCGAATTCAACTGGTAGATCTTTTGACATTCAGTCTACGATCACATGCTACAGCTCCTATGTTGTCTACCTTTTGGAATGTAGTTGCGGGAAGCAATATGTAGGTAGAACGACAAGGAGACTGAGAGACAGATTGAGAGAACACCTGGTCAATATTAAGAAAGGTTACAAGGAGCACTCCTTGTCTATGCATTACCGCCAGCGACACAATAGGAATCCACATTCCCTGCGTTTTGTGGGTATCGATACCATCAAAAGTAACTGGAGGGGTATCCACAAAAAACGAGCGGTCTCCATGCTCGAGACCAAATGGATATATACTTCTACAGTCCCAAGTTCCACAGGGACTAAACGTAGAATTAGATATTAATTGTTTCATCGATACCAGCTGATCGATCGTTTATGATCTAAAGTACATTATTACTTTTAGAATTTAATATTTCTAATGATTTTACATTATAAACCAGATTGGTTTTAATCTATATGTTTGACGTAATTTGTCTTTACTTGTATTCATACTAGAGTAACATAATCGCTTTCAATAAGTTGATGCACCTTAATCTTAGTACATTGGTTTTAAAATTTAATATTTTTAATGATATTACTTTTTAACCAGAGTGGTTTTAATTTATATGTTTGACGCATTTGATGTATTTTGCCTTTATCTGTACATTCCTATTGGAGTGCTATAATCGCTGTAAAAAGTCGATGCACCTTAGTATTTTCTAGTTTAATATATTTCTTAATATTGTTTCACCACGCTGTTCTTGTTACAATGGGGCATTAAGTATGTTCCATGTGTAATTTCAGCTAATCCACTTGCCCCGTGTTGATTTAGGAATGCAGTATCTTGTTCCCACTAAGATTACTGCTGAACCAACACTTGTATGTCCATAATGTGTTTTGGCTTCTTAAAAATGGCCGCCGCGAACGCTAGTGCGCATGCGCGACCGCTACTGCGCATGCGCGAACCGGCAATAACGGCGCCGCCGCATTGCGGTGTATTTTGGCGCTTTTTTATGTATAAAAACGCTCCTTTTACCACTGGCACAGTCCCTCTGATGATGTGTACTCACACGATACGCGTTAGGGAAGTGCCAAGCTATTTATATCCTGTGTACATGTACCTCTGGTCTGGCCGTTTATGAGCAGCTGAACCGTTGTTAGTAAGTTCTTTTCTGATTATTTACCTACTTTAATAAACGATATCACACTATTTGAGACCTTTTTCCACGGGCTCTTTATTTCTGGGGAGCCTGTAATTCTGAAGGTCCTGGGGCTGTGCTGAGCAAAGGACACATCTGCAAGTGACATCCCTGGGGATCCATGACACAGCTCCTCCTGGAACGGATGACATCTAGTGGTCGCCCTATAGATGACATCCGCCTGATCCTCTAATACAGTGGCTGGACTCAGCTTCCATCCGGATAGATGACATCTAGTGGTCACCCTATAGATGACATCTCCTGGCTCCAGTGATACAGTGGCTGAGCACCAGGGGCAGGTCTTAAATGCTCCATGCGCTTTAATATGCGCTATCTGGTTAGTGCATTATTTGGCTATTATCATTTCTGAAAGTCACTACTTTTGGTTTTTTACATATTGGAGACTGTATGCATTTTCAGCACATCTGATGAACTTACACTGACATTTTACTGATCCACTATCATATGTGGTCTATCATATGTTTAATCGCTATTTGGGTTAGCGCTGCACATTTCTGGTCATACCCGTATCCCTAACAAGCTGTTTAGTGGTTTCTGGGGTTAGGAACGTGCGTATTTTGGCGATGTTGCGGAGGTGGAGTCTGCATGAGTTTGTTTTAAAGATTGGACTTGGGGCTGGAAGGATAGGTTGGAGTCCAGAATGATACCAAGTACTCTGGCCTGCGGGGCAGGTTTGATGGTGGCGTTGTTGGACATGATGGAGAAGTCAACGGGGATGGTGTGCGGGCCGGGGGGAAGACAAGAAACTCGGTTTTGGAGAGGTTCAGTTTAAGGAAGTGGAGCGACATCCAGTCTGATATGTCGCTTAGTAGGTGTGTGATTCGGGCGGAGACTGAGGGGGTTAGGTGGGGGGTTGAGAGACAGATTTGTGTGTCGTCGGCATATAGGTGGTAGTTAAAGCCGTGAGAGTGTATGAGTTGGCCAAGGGAGAAGGTGTAGATGGAGAAGAGAAGGGGCCCGAGGACGGAGCCTTGAGGGACCCCAACAGAGGGGTAGTGAGGGGGAGGTGGTAGCATTATAGGTAACGCTGAAAGAGCGTTGTGACAGGTAGGATGAGAGCCAGGAGAGCAGAATCTCTGAGGCCGAGGGAGTGTAGTAGTTTTTGAGGAGGAGGGGGTGGTCGACTGTGTCGAAGGCCGCGGAGAGGTCAAGGAGTAGGAGCACTGAAGAGTGGCCATTAGCTTTGGCAGTCAGCAGGTCGTTGGAGAGTTTTAGTAAGTCAGTTTCGGTGGAGTGTAGGGGACGGAAGCCGGACTGTAGGGGATCGAGGAGATTGTTGTCGTTGAGGTGAGAGCTTAGGTGGGTGTAGTCTAGGCACTCGAGTTTGGATGTGAATGGGAGCAGGGAGATGGGTCTGAGGTTGTTCGGGTCATTGGGGTCCAGGGAGGGCTTTTTAAGTATGGGTGTCAGGGCTCCCGGTAAGACCAGAGATGCGTGAACTGACACAGGGAAACGCAGGCTCAAGTATGGTGTAACACTATAATTTATTAAGGGTTATACACAAATATAACAAAACCAAACCTCCAACTGATAACGGAATGTACACAGATAAGAGCAGTCAGGGCTGGCGAGGTGGAGTGGTCAGGCGGGCCTGGTCAGGAATCATCGGACAGACAAGACACAAAGGAGCAGGCTGGAGAGTGGTCAGGTATAGCCGAGGTCAGGACAGGCGGAGTTCATTCAGGGTCAGGATCAAGCAGAATCAGGAAGCAGACAGGATGCAGGTACAGGGGCTCATGAGAAACATACACCAAGGCACTGACTGCAGGTCTGGCCATTCCTTAAATACACCTCCTGCAATCAGCCTCAGGTGATGGCTGACTGCAGGAGTGCAGGAGTGAGCTTCTGGTTGCTGAGAGTACCCGCTGGCCAGCCCTGGTACTGCAGCCCACAAGGCAGGTGAGTCCCACCATTCCCCACAAGGCAGGCAAGTCCATTCCTGACAATGGGGGTGATGTGTGCATGCTTCAGAGGGGAGGGGAAAGTGTCGGAGGAGAGGGAGAGATTAAAGATGTGGGTGAGGGAGCATAGGATGGAGGGGGAAGGAGGTTGTAGGAGTTGTGAGGGGATAGGGTCGAGGGGGCAGTTGGTGAGGCGGGCATCAGAGAGGACCTTGGAGACTTCCTCGATGGTAGTAAGGTCAAAGGTGCGGAGTGTTGAGGGGGCTTCAGTATGAGGAATGTGGGGTGGGGTGGAAGTGGAGGTCAGAGCAGTGGTGGGGCCGTGGGAGAGGGATGATGAGGGGGTAGCTGAGTGAGGGTGAACGG